TCCATTCCTCACTTCTCCAACCGATGTGGGACAAGTGGAAAAATAAATATAAATATAAATATGTATTTGTATAATAATAATAATAATAATAATAATAATAATAATAATAATAATAATAATAATAATAATAATAATAATTATTATTATTATTATTATTATTATTATTATTATTATTATTATTATTATTCTCTCACACACACACATGCATATATATATATATATATATATATATATATATATATATATATATATATATATATATATATATATATATATATATATATATATATATATATATATCATAATCATATTTATTATTATTATTATTATTATTATTATTATTATTATTATTATTATTGTTATTATTATTTTGTATAAGGGTATTTATGTCTTTAAAACCTATTCCATTTATATTCCTTTAACCAACCAAACACTGGAATACAATTACTAAAGTCTATTCCTTCAGCTAACCAAACAATAGAATACAATTCATATTCTATTCCTTACCTATTCCATTCCCTGTGGAATATCATCCATATTCTCTCCAAATTCATTCCGTGAACCAAACGTGCTGTAAAGGAATTAACTAGGCGGTCTAAGGAAGTCTACCCAAAACGAAAGGCTTAGAGGAAAGAAACGTAAGAAAACGAAACTCAAAGGTAAGGAGATAGGCTCGGGGAAAGGTACTTGCGGGCTCATCTTTGACTAGATCCTTAGCTTCAGCTTGGGACCGTCTTCATCACAAATAATCTTCCTTGGGGCGGTCCCGATCTTCCGAAAGGTGCACTCGCGTAACCCCGATTGTTTCCACCTCCTAATTGACCCGGAACTGCTGGCCTTGCAGTAGAGGGGTGCTGGGGTGGTACTCCTTGTCTAGATGGGTAGGGACAAACACGGGACTTGTGTCCTCCTCCTTTATAGTTGAAGCATTGAATCGGATTTCCTTGGCAATCTCTCCCGATGTGATCCTTACCACACCTTCTACACAAAGTTGGCCCCTTTCTTACTTCCGAATGTGTCCTTACCGATCCCTGTCCTTGAGAGCAGGTTGCCTTAGCATTGAAATCGCTCCTTGGTTTCTTAAAGCTCGAACCTCCTCCCTCAACTCTCCTCTTTACTTGATCACTTGGCCCCCTTTGCAACTGTTGGACCCGATACAAATCTGCAGCACTGGTATCGGCTTAGCCGAGCGTCCTTGGCTTGAACACCGTTAGAGATTTCCTTGCCTCATAATTGAGCCCGGCTACAAACTTCTCCACCTTGGCGGCTTCATTGGGGACCAAAACACACGCAAAGCGAGCTAACTCGAGAAACCGCTTGTGGTACTCTACCACAGTTGAGACCCCTTGCTTCAAATGGAGAAACTCCTCGTACATTGCCGCCCAAACATGAGAAGGGTAAAAACGTTCTCGGAGAATGTCTTTCAACGCTTTCCAACCAAACCCTGGTTCTTCTTGACACACCGGTCCCTCGTGGACCTACCACAAATCGGCTTCATGGGTGAAGTAGAAAACTGCTAACTCAACTCGGCGTTCATCGGGACATCAAACTTCGGTGAAAATCTTGTCCATGGTGTGAACCCATTATTCCAAGACTGTGGGGTCTTCCTCCCTGGCAAAGGTTGGAGGGCGATGATTGGAGACTTGTCGGGCAACGTCGCGATTCCCATTTGGCGGTGGTTGATTGTTGTTGTTGTGGAGGAGTGCATTGCTCAGGGTTTGCGTGATTTGAGTCAGATGCTGCAGGTTCTGGGCTAGCTGCTCGTTCGTGGGTGTGTCGGGAGTCCATGCATGATGATGAGGTGGTGCCATTGTTGAGCTCTACATAAGCGACACAGGTTACGATAGAACTAAAGAAATTGCACCCTTACCCGGTGCCTAAACGAAAGAACTTAAACCAAACAGAAGCAGGTAATGAAACACATCAAAGCAATAAAAGAACTCACATCCTCACCGCGCGTCCTAAGAATCCTATACTTAGGTACTTAAACACTTAAAGGCTTCACTAAGTCCCTTAAAGTCCTTAACTTACAAGTACTAACCTAGGCTCAACCCTAGGCTCTGATACCAACTATAACACCTTGATTCTTCGGCGTAATTTAAAACTTAAATATAAAGATAAGTCTAATCATTAAATCAAAGCTTAGCGAAAGCTAATTAGTAAAATACGAGGGAGTTACGCCACATCTATCTAACTATAGATGCACAGGCTAGAAACTAAAACCAAATCCAAACATAAGTCAATATCCAATAATTCTAGGCCTACATGCCACGAGTCTAGAACAACACAAAGGAAAAGTTACGCTATCTAAGCCTTCGTCTAGCGCGCTCTCAATCGATCTACTCAACACCTGAAAATATAAGGGTAGCACCCGTCAGCAAATAATGCTGGTAACCCACCAATACTTGTTGAGTACAATATAATATAGATATAGAGAACAGCATTTGAGACTTGGAATACATAATATAATCTTTTAAAACGAGGAATGGAGACATCATAAGACTCGTCATAGCATCACTCTCAAATAAAGACCAACATCCAACAGTTACTTAATAATCAATAAGGACGACAGATGTAACATGCTTAAAAAAAAGATACATCATATGATAATCAATCCAGAGATAACCTAAGTCATACTCATAAACCATGAGAGACAGGATTCACATTCAATGATACGTACAAGTTCCGAGTTCCAATCTTATGCCCTGTTCCAACCATTCTCACCAAGCCAACCTTATTATAGTTCTAACCATTACCTCCTAGTGCCACCCTGTACACCAAGTCCAACCTTATCCCTCCGGAGCCTTTACATTGCTCCCCGCCTACATCCGCCAGCTTGCCACCGAACGTAGACATTCGTAATGTTATTAGTCATCGTAGAATAATACTAATCACATGATAGTCTATCTCCTTTCATTATTGTCCACGAATTTCATAACGTTATACAGTCATCATCATAGAGGATTGAGTCTCATCAATAGCCCAATCAAGTATCAACAAATGTGTACAACATATGTACGAGATCATAACAAGGAATACAACCGGTAGATTTCAATAAAAGGCATGAATAGACCATCAAACAATGTCATAACAACAATAGACTTTGATCCAAAGATCACCATGATTGGCAACACAAGTTGTCAATCCTCATTAAGAACAAACGAACAACACATACTAGCATCAACAACATTAGAACTAGCATGTACATCAAAAGGGGAAACATAACGGTTCAATCAACCTCAACGAATTCACATTAATCCAACGAATCACAAGGTTAGTTGGACCATAAGCACGATTCAAGACTCATAATCCTATCACGGATACTTAGGACACCATTCTAGACATACGAAACATCAAAGGAGACACACAAGTGCACCATGATTCAACAAAACAGAGGCCAAAGCACCATGTACCAGTGGGCGGAACGGTTGGTGGACAACCACCCGCCACACCTGTGACAACTCCAAAATTTAATTTTATAAATTTGGTTTTAAGAAATTCCAAAATAGCCATTTTTCAGTCTATAAAAGTTTTTGCAATGAAATTGGTGTTTCAATAAATTATTTTGAGCCACTTTTAAGTAAATTCAACACCGGGACTTATTTTAATTCCAAAATCCTAAATTCTCGAGTACATCGTGTACCACAATTGTGACCCAAAAGTCAATCTGAGTGAAACCGGAAGAAATCTGAGAAACCAGAACCAAGTGTTTCAACTAAAACTATTTTTTAGAAAATCTATTTTTGGACCCCAAGTTATTCAAAATCATCTTTTTATGGTCCATGATACAAGGTGAACTCTAAAATTATATCTTTATTTTTTTTACCCCCAAACCCTAAGTATAAGAGATAACTTTTTCCCTTGTCACTAGTACAGAAACAGTCATTCGCGTCCAAAGTAGCTGGGACGCAGATGTCGGGGACGCTGATTGTATAAACAATCAGCGTCCAAAGTAGCTTTGGACGCGCAAAATGATTATTCGCGTCCAAAGTTGAAGAATTTTGGACGCGAAAAATGATAATTCGCGTCCAAAGTTCGTGAACTTTGGACGCGTATAGTGTTTATTTATTTTTTACAAAAATACTATAAGCGTCCAAAGTTTCTAAACTTTGGACGCGTATAGTAAAAAAATTTAAAAAAAAACATTTTTTTTATAAAACAACCAATATTTTCCTGAACATCTCAGCATAACTACCAAATAATATATTTCAACATTAATCAATTTAAGATGTATACTACACACCAATTCTATCAACTAAAACACACCAATCTAAAATTTCAATTCTAATATTAGTAACAACATCCTTTTACTTGTACAACAAAAGAATTGTGTATCCAGACAGCATTCTAAGGTTCAAAAAATCAAAACTGCCCAAATTCCTAAACATCTATCCATGGTTAATCTATCAGGCAAAAAACATACTGATATTTAATCTTTGATTGCTGATTGTGCAGGCTAAGTCTTTCTTCAGCCATCTGGTCTACAACTTTGAGCTGGTTTTCTTCATACTCACGAATATTTTTCACCCCAACAGACTCTTCTTGTTGGCTCTTAATAACAATGAAGGCCATGAAATCATAAATTAAGACATAACTTTATTTCTCTGATGGCCGTAAAGCAAAGAAGTTAATGGAAATTTGATTTTCAATCTAAATTATCAAAAAGCAATTTTAAATAAACCTGACAAAATAAAAGAATGAGAATATCAGCTTGCAGTACCTTTTTGCCATCACTTGTCTGGATCTCTATTATATCACCATTAATTTTGTGCACTTCACTATCAAGCCAAGCTGCATCTGGATCCTCTAACCAAACCTGAGATCCTACAATTATGTTTACTGAAGTTCCCTGCCAAAGACAAGATAAATCGACACATTATTAGGTTGGCCTTTGTACTAGTATTTGATCTTTTTTCTTCTATGAATTAGTACTTCAAATTACCTGCAAGGAGAAGGACTAGTGAAAACAACTGCAGCACTTCACTTCTATCCCAAGGTGAAGCTAATTTCGATTTTTATAAACAGATCTCTCCTGCAATAAACACCATTCCTCATATTTTCAGGTTGACTTTTGAGTAAATGAACCGCCAAACAAGTTTAGAGTTGAAATATAACTCATTATGAGAACACTGAATGTGAACATTGAATAAAGATTTGCCAAATTTCAGGTAATAAAATATCCAATTTAAGATATAAAATAAAAATAAACATTGGACATGCTCTAGTAATTCAAGATCATATTGCTTAAATTATGATTAGAAGAGGCTCAAAATGTTGAAAGTCTCAGAATGTACATTATTAAACAATTCAGTAAGGGCGTGCATACCGTGACCAACTTTGTTTATTGAGAGATGCTTTGGCTGCTTTAAGTTGCCATCATCCCCAAATGCTTTCTCAGTAAATTATACAACTACCTTTTGAAAAACCCATCAGCCAAATCACAAGATACATACACAAAATAATCGACAACAAACCTTCAAAGAAAAATGAAACCTTCTCAGCACTTTCAAAGAAGTAATTGTCAGTCGTATTTTTCTGGAAAAAAAAAAACCCAAAAAAGAAAAGGGGAATTTCAGGATATTTTGAGTTGAGTTTTTGCTATGGCGGTGTTAATTAGTCGAGAATAAGAGTTGACCTGATTCCTGGTGGAGAAAATTGAGGCGGTGGAAGAGCAATCGAACGTATCTAGCAACTCCTCCATTCTCTTCCTCATCGATTCTTTCTCTTCTGCACTGGAAAATGATTCGAACACAAGATACCTTGATCATAGTTCCACTCACTGCATTAGTTCCAATGCTAATTTACATGTAATTGTTTGCATTACACACATACATTCCTACATACATACAGATATGTGTATATGCATATGAACAGAGATGTTAACCTTGCGAATTGAAGAATTGGAGTTGATCTGAACTGAGACTTCCAAGGATTCCCATGTCTGCGGCCTTTCTCCTGATTTTGGTCAAGAAATGTATTACTTGTATACCTTTATGTTGAGATTAATAAGAACAAGAAAAATAATAATGGCAGTAAAGGATAAAGAAGACAAGATTTACGTGGTTCGGCAATGTCCCTACATCCACGGGAGTGAAAGTATTCTCTTATTATTTGTGATGGTGATACCGGTGATGAGATACATTGATTATATTTATAGGCATATAATCTCCCTTTCACTCCTATTCCTTATATGAGACACTCATATTCCTAATCCTTATATGAGACAAACACAACAAATCTCCACCTTGGCGAATATGCTCTCTAGGAGAAAAGATAACTCAACAAATCTCCACCTTGGCGAATAAGCCCTTCAGGAGAAAATACTTATCTAACCATCTCCACCTTCGCAAATAAGCCCTTTAGGAGAAAACAAACTCATCTCATAGTCTCCCTGGATTAGGACCACCATGTTCATTTAACATCTGGAAACACCCAACAAGTCCAAACAATGTTTGAACTTGTCACTAGTAACTGCCTTTGTCAACATGTCTGCTGCATTCTCACTTGTATGAATCTTCTGCAACAAAATCTCACCTGAAGCAACCAACTCTCTGACCTTATGAAACCTTACATCAATATGTTTGGTTCTGGCATGGTATACTTGATTTTTAGCTAAGAAAATGGCACTTTGATTGTCACAGTGTAATTGAACTCCATCTTGCTCAATACCCAACTCCTTAATCAAACCTGAAAGTCACAAAGCCTCTTTAGCTGCCTCAGTCACAGCCATGTATTCTGCTTCAGTTGTAGACAAAGCTACAATAGACTGAACTGATGATCTCCAGCAAATAGGACCACCCCCAAGAGTAAAAACATACCCTGTTGTAGAACGTCTATTATCCATGTCACCAGCATAATCAGAATCCACATATCCCATGAGTACATGCTCATTCTGTTGACTCCCAAATACAATACCATGCTCCATAGTGCCCCTTAAGTACCGGAGAATCCATTTAACTGCTTCCCAATGCTGCTTCCCAGGTTTAGACATGTACTTACTAACTTGGCTAACAGCATGAGCCAAATCAGGTCGAGTACAAACCATTGCATACATTAAACAGCCAACTGCACTAGCATAAGGAATCTTTGCCATATTTTCAATCTCACTAACTGTTTGGGGACACTGACTGGATGAGAGTTTAAAATGATTAGCCAAAGGGGTACTAACCGGTTTAGACTTACTCATCCCAAACCTGTCAAGAATTTTCTCTATATAACTCTGTTGAGTTAGCCACAACTTTCTTGCACCTCTATCCCTGTGAATTTCCATGCCAAGAATTTTCTGTGCAACTCCTAAGTCTTTCATATCAAATTCCTGACCCAACAAAACTTTCAATGCAGTAATATCATTCATACTCTTAGCAGCGATCAACATATCATCCACATACAGTAACAGAAAAATAAAAGAACCATCACCAAGGCTTTTAACATAGACACAACAATCATACTCACAACGTGTATAGCCAATTTGAATCATGTAAGCATCGAACCGCTTGTACCACTGCCGCGGAGCCTGTTTCAGCCCATACAAAGACCTCTTGAGTCGACAAACCAGATGCTCACTTCCGGGTTTAACAAACCCTTCAGGTTGCTTCATGTAAATTTGCTCATCTAGATCACCATGTAAAAAAGCAGTTTTCACATCCATTTGTTCCAAATGCAAATCCCAAATGGCTACCAAAGCAAGTACTAATCTGATAGAAGTATGTCTAACAACAAGAGAGAAAACCTCATCATAATCTATCCCCTTCTGTTGAGAAAACCCCTTCGCAACTAACCTAGCCTTAAACCTTTCCCCTTATTTTTCTGATACTGGTGGCTTCTTTCTATAGACCCACTTGCACCCTATAGCCTTCTTTCCTTGAGGAAGTTGAGCTAACTCCCAAGTATGATTATGATGTAAAGACTCCATCTCCTCAATCATACCTGCCATCCATTTATCTTTCTCCTGGCTAGAAATAGCCTCTTGAAAGGTAACTGGATCATTATTAGAAACAAGAAGTGCAAAAGAAATCATATCCTCAAACTCATACCTACTAGGTGGTTTGACATTGGTGCGTCTCGGTCTATCTCTAGCCAAACTGTAATCTTGTAAATTTTCTGAACCCGAACCTGCTGCAGATGTAGAATCTGCAACTTCTTGAGTCTCAACCGTAGGTGGATTAACTACTTTCTCACTCAAAGGTACACGATCCATATCCACTTCTACTGTGCTAGAACCATCAACTAGTGTATCTTCTTTCTTTGGTTAGAACATGAAATTCTCATCAAACACTGCATCTCTGCTAATCACCACCTTTTTGGTTGCAGGATCCCAAAACTTATATCCTTTTACACCTTTCTTGTAACCCAAAAAGATGCACTTCTTCGACTTGGGATCTAACTTTGATCTCTCATCACCTGGAATAAGAACATAGCTAGGACAACCAAAAACTCGTAAGTGATCAAAACTTACAGGATTACCTAACCAAACCTCCTTAGGAACCTTGCCACCAAGTGATGTCCGTGGCGACCTATTGATCAAGTAACATGCCCTGTTCACTGCTTCTGCCCAAAAACACTTAGAGAGCCCAACATTCAATCTGAGACACCTTGCTCTCTCAGCAATGGTTCTATTCAGCCGCTCAGCAACACCATTCTGTTGTGGTGTCTTACGCACTGTATAGTGCCTTTGAATTCCATGTTCTGCACAGAATTTCTGAAATTCTTTCTCAGTATATTCTGTCCCGTTGTCAGACCTCAGGTACTTGATTTTTCTTCCAGTCTGGTTCTCAACCTCGGCTTTCCACAACTTAAATTTCTCAAACACTTCAGATTTATGTTTCAAGAAATACACCCAGACTTTCCTAGAAAAATCGTCAGTAAATGTAACATAATATCGAGAGCCACCCATTGAAGGTTCCCTGGTAGGTCCCCAAACATCAGAATGCACATAATCCAGAATCCCTTTAGTTTTATGCTGCCCAGTAGAAAAACTGACTCTAGTCTGTTTCCCAAAGACACAGAACTCACAGAAATCTAGCTTACAACATTTAACTCCTTTTAACAAATTCCTTTTGTGCAAATCAGACAGACCACGTTCACCAAGGTGACCCAAACGTAAATGCCACAACCTAGTAGTATCATCACTAGACTCAACAGAATGTGCTCCACCTACAACAGTACTACCCAACAACCTATAAATGTTCCCTGTGGTCCTTTTCCCTTTCATCACAGTTAAAGCACCCTTACTAATTTTAATGGTTTCCTTATCACTCTCAGACTTATGAATAAAACCATTAGCATGCAAACTGCCAAGAGAAATCAGGTTCTTAGTTAACCCCGGTATATGTCTGACATCATGCAAAGTTTTGACAATACCATCATACATCTGGATGTTAACATCACCAATACCTATGATATTATGACATCTATCATCACCTAGAAAAACAGAACCGAAAGTACCTGACTTATAGGTTGTGAACCACTCCCTGTTAGGTGTAATATGATAAGAGCATCCTGAGTCTAGAATCCAAGCATCTGACAACTTACTCGATGAAACTGCTAGAACATCACCTTCACTATAATCTGAGTCATCAGCATGCACCACGTTCGCCGCCTCTTGTTGTTTTTTCAACTTTGGACAATCTCTCTTTATGTGCCCAATCTCATAACACTTATAGCACCGGATTTTCCTGCTATTTCTGGACTTAGACCTAGAGTTTTTCCTCCCAGAATTACCCTTCTCTTGTTTCCTTCCACGATCCTGACCCTCTTTAGCATACAAACTTTCACCAACAGACGATCCACTCTTCAAGCGCTTATTATGAGCCTGCAGGGCCGCAGAGATCTCGCTGTATTTAATCGTGCTTTTCCCGTATGTTAGAGTAGTCACCAGATGTTCAAAGGAAAAAGGTAATGAACATAGCAAGATCATCGCTTTGTCTTCATCTTCAATCTTGACATCAAGCCTGGCCAGATCTGAGATTATCTGGTTGAAGAAATTAATATGATGCACCAAGTCTGAACCCTCCTCCATCTTAAGCCCATAAAGTCTTTGCTTCAGATACAGTTTGTTCGTAAGAGATTTTTCCATGAACTGAGTTTCCAATTTATCCCAAATTTCTTTTGGGGCTTCCAGGGCCATAACGTGATACACAATTCCATCGTCTAGGCATAACCGAATGGTCCCTGCCGCACGCTCCTTCAAATCTTCCCAATCTTCCTCTTCCAGATTAGCTGGCTTATCCGCCTTCAAAGTTTTCAGAAGACCCTGTTGTGCCAACAAATCCTTTACCCTAGATTGCCATAACCCAAAATTCCCTGTACCATCAAATTTTGATACCTCGAATTTTGTACTTGAACTGGTCATCTCAACAGAGCTCTGATACCAATTTGTTGAGATTAATAAGAACAAGAAAAATAATAATGGCAGTAAAGGATAAAGAAGACAAGATTTACGTGGTTCGGCAATGTGCCTACATCCACGGGAGTGAAAGTATTCTCTTATTATTTGTGATGGTGATACCGGTGATGAGATACATTGATTATATTTATAGGCATATAATCTCCCTTTCACTCCTATTCCTTATATGAGACAAACTCATATTCCTAATCCTTATATGAGACAAACACAACACTTTATATACCAACTTGAGTGCTTTTATGAGTTTTATCCTCCATTTTTTTTTCCATGTGATATGCACAAACAAGTTTAGAGTTGGAATATAACTCATTATGAGAACACTAAATGTG